GTACAACAAAAATCAAATGACTACCCCGTTAGGGCTCTGATGGAAACCCATCTCTGTCAATCTGATACAAGCACACAGTTTAAAAGTCATGCCCAGAAAACTGAAGGGAAGATTGCCTTATCCTCTGCCTTGCAAGCGGTGGTAGATAAGCACTTCTCTGATCAAGCAACATTCACACTAACTCTTAACAGGAAAACTGCACTTTAAACTCCCAACAACCCTCCCAATTGCTCTGTCATGAAAAGCTGCATGGTATTTGGAGCAATAATTATCCCCCACAACCACATGCAAACCAAAACATTAACCAACCATTTCATGGCATCAGATCCTTCCCAATAACGCATGCATACCTCAAGGAATGGGACGCGGGTGGCGCTGTGGGTAAAAGCCTCAGCGCCTAGGGCTTGCCGATCGAAAGGTCGGCGGTTCGAATCCCCGCGGCGGGGTGCGCTCCCGTTGCTCGGTCCCAGCGCCTGCCAACCTAGCAGTTTGAAAGCACCCCCGGGTGCAAGTAGATAAATAGGGACCGCTTTATAGCGGGAAGGTAAATGGCGTTTCCGTGTGCGGCTCTGGCTCGCCAGAGCAGCGATGTCACGCTGGTCACGTGACCCGGAAGTGTCTCTGGACAGCGCTGGCCCCTGGCCTCTTGGGTGAGATGGGCGCACAACCCCAGAGTCTGTCAAGACTGGCCCGTACGGGCAGGGGTACCTTTACCTTTACCTCAAGGAAACAACATTTAACTAATATTGAGATGAACAGAAAACCTCTTGGGAGTTGGAGAGGTGAAAGAGAGATAGAGAGAGAGTTCATAGGTTATTGTGTGCTTGGGGAGCAGAGGTTTTTCTGTAGACACAGATAATTTTCCCCCCTGACACACAGACAGACATAGTTATTACGCCGAGTTACACTTTTATTAAACAAAAAACAAGAACACAGTACAGACCATCATGCAACATGTTCGAAGCCTGCACAGCCCCATGTTGAGTGTTCACACAGATGCATGGAAAACATTAGCCATCTGTTTCAACACTTTTCCATTCCAGAAATCTACCAAAGAGGTTTTAGTAAACAAAAATGAAGAGAAAACTGGCCAGTTTTCTAAGACGTGCTTCCTGCAGCAGGAAAAAAAATCATCTGGGTAGGAATGCTTCTCTCCCAAGGTGGCTTGAAGGTATGGAATTATTTGGAGAAAGAAATACAGTGATTGCACTACTTAGAGCAGCAATACCAGCCAGGACTGGAGGGGGGTGCAATATGGACCACAAATCTGATTGATTATTAGGAATTATCATCATCATCATCAAATTTCTAAATTACATGACAATCCCACAATATGTAACTGTAGATTTAAGATCTCTTCTTCTATGTCCTGCTCTGCATGCTGTGTTCCATTTATCACCAGTTTTGTTTGTTTCTCACACTCCGACCTCCACACCTTCTGCCAGCTTGTTCCCATGTCTGGAATAGGTTGCCTTTAATAGGCAAATATCCTCCTTGGAAATCCCTTCCTAACACCCACTGCATAGTTTCACCTGGCCTCTTGCATTGGTTAGAAGCCACTTTACATTGGGGTCTCTTCCAACTGTACAAATCTATGATTTCATGGGGCACAAATTCCCATGAACAAACCTCAGTGTGAAGAACGACGCCTGGTGGACATCACACGAGGCCTTGGTTAAAAATTGGGAATATGAAGCTTGTCTTAAGGGTACCATTGCTCACTTTGTTTCTGGAGAGCTATTCAGTGTCTCAAAAAATGAGCCCATTTATGGCTCCTTCCTAGCAATCTTAAGTGACAGAAGTTTACAAGTTAAAGTCTTTGGGATTTATTTTAATGTTTCTAAACTGCTCCTTATTACTGGAGCTTGTTTGCAGAGATGATGTCTGGTCAAGTTATTAACCTAAGAAATGAAATACATAGGTTTTGCATATCCCAGCTTTGGGCATTGCAGATTTGGTGCATTTCTTTAAAAAGTGCTGGCTCCAAATAATTGGGAGCTTTATAATTATCTTTGTACTTTAATCTTTGTTGATGTAAGCAGGCCCTTTGCTGTCATGAAAAAAGGAGATAAAGACAGGGGGAGGAAAGTCCACATGAAAGGCAAATAGATGCTTCCAACCGGTATTGATGCAAGGTGAGGGTAAAGGTAAAGGACCCCTGGGAGGTTAAGTCCCATCAAAGGCAACTATAGGGTGCGGAACCCATCACTTTTAGGCTGAGGGAGCTAGCGTTTGTACACAGACAGCTTTCCAGGTCATGTGGCCAGCATGACTTAACCGCTTCTGGCACTATGGAACACAGTGACAGAAACCAGAGCACATGGAAACACTGTTTACCTTCCTGCCACAGCAGTACCTGTTTATCTACTTGCACTGGCATGCTTTCGAACTGCTAGGTTGGCAGGAGCTGGGACAGAGCTATGGGAGCTCACTCGGTTGCCAGGATTTGAACCGCCGGCCTTCTGATCAGCAAGCCCAAGAGGGCTCAGTGGTTTGACCATGGTCACTGCATACATGGAGCTGTCCAACACCAGATGCAAAATAAAGGCTTGGAGCTGCAGACGAGGAACTCTGTTTTTCCGAGTTGCCACCATCATTTTGCCTAAAGTGAAATTTGTACCATATGTGGAAGCTTTTGAGTGGCTAACTGTGGAGGTAGATCAGAGACAGCCATGGTGGCACCCTCAGATGTTTGGACCGCAACTTCCATCATCCATGAACACCAAGTTGCTTACCCCTTAGATAGGTAGCCTGTGATAAATCCAGCACCCCAGGTAGTCTACTAGATTTACTGGATTTGACCTGATAGTCTCAAGATTCTATTATGATCACCCAGCTACATTATCCAGTGCTAGGTCTCTGGCTAGGTTCCAATCACATCCAGCAATTGATAGTGAACAAGGTGAGGCAGCAAAGATCGTACACATTGGGTCTGGTATTTTGCTTTTCTATAATCCAGCCATACAGGCCATGTGGACAGCAGCCTTGGACCTTGCTTTGCTGAGGTGTGCTCAGTTTTATCAGAAATGAGATAAAACCTTACCCTTCATGTTCAAAGAAACACAGCAGAAATTCCTAAAATGACCACTGTCAGTAACAAAGCTCCCTTGAAGGTACTAAGGAAGGTTTCTACTTAGACATGGCCATACAGTCTGCTAAAGAGAGATTCCAACAGCTACAACAATATACAGTATCAACAACAAATCTACTGAAGATGCACTTAAGGCCTGCAAGAATTTGGAAAAATAATTGATGCACTATGGAAACAAATATATTGATGCTGAAGATGTGTGCTGTGAACTTATAGCAATAGTTTGAAGACTTCCAAAGTCTTTGCTGCCAAAAGGAATACTTCTCTTCGTACTACAACAAAACTCCTGGATAACGTGCCTAATGTTTCTGTTGATCTAAACATCCTTCCCACACTTTCAGTGTCAGTAGCAAGCGGTGAACACAGTTTCTCAAAACTCAAACTTTTACAAACTTACATATGCTCAACAATGTTGCAAAAGAAACCGGTTGGCTTGGCAACTATATCCATGAAAAATGCCCAAGCATCAGCGCTCGACTTGAAGGAACCAGTGGCAAATTTTGCAAAGGAAAAAGCATATGCTAAGCGAGATTTTGGTGTGCCTGAAATTGAAACTTATATTTTAACACCACAATTCACAAGATTATTCAAAATGATTTGCATGCTAAAACATTTTCTTTTGTCTTTGAGAAGCTAATAAAAGATTGTTGTATTATTTATTGCAATTTAAAATAAATTTAGCAGAGTCAAGTTTGGTGCTTTTCATTTTTTCTGCAGGACCTCTGTTTTTGAAAATTGAAGTGAGTAACTTAGGATGTGTTTGTGCAAGAAGTTAGTCTTGCCTGGGGTACAAAAGAGTCTCGTACCAGTTCTGCTTCTGTGCCTCAGTGGTACAGTACCAAAAGTTGCCTTTACAGAGTACAAGTTGCATTACTTTTGAAAAGGCCAAATATTCCTACTAAAGTAATAATCTTAGGTAACTGTCTGAAGGTAGAAATAAGCCCCATTGCAGACACCTCCATACTGGTGCCTTTTTGCAGTTCTGCAACATTTCTTTATTTTTTAAAAATACATTAATATCCCAATTTCAAGGAGGTCATGTGGTTCACACAGTTCTCCCTCCACTATTTTATCCTAACAACAACCCTGTGAGGCAGGTTAGGATGCTAATGGACCCTAGGTGAGCTTCATGGCGACACATCCTCTCTCCCTCTCCCCAAGTTTGCTGGTGCAAACGGGTGTGGAAAGCGGGGATCGCGCGTAACTCCTGCGATTATACCACCACGAGCACAAACCACCGTGAACACGCAATGGAAAGCACGTCTGAAGGGGCCCTAAGTTCCATGGCGCTTACTTCCAGGTACCCACAGGAGTGCACAGGAGCTGCAGGCGAGGGACCCTCGAAGCTGCCGCAGCTTGCTTGCTTGCTGTTGCAACTTTCTCTTTAATACAGAATTGTCTATCTATTGATCGATCGATCGCAATTTGTACCCCCCTTTTTTCTCCAAGGAGCACAAGGTGGACGGTTCTCCCTCTCCTCATTTACTACAACACGGCGGGGTCGTTTAGGCTAAGAGAAGACAGCCCAAGTGAGCTTCATGGCAGAGAAGGGATTCAAACCCTGGTCTCCCAGGTGCCTAACCCTGCTCTCTAAGCACGGCTCCACAGTCAGGGAATCTATTGCAACGTTCCAGATCTGCAACTGGAGGTCGCTAAACTCGCCGCCCCTGCAAAAGAAACGGGCTGGCAGCCTTGCAGCAGCCCCGGAGCCAAGTGGGCCAAAGGAGCCCCGCGGAGGGGTTGCAAAGATCAAACGCATCCGCGAAAAGCAGGCGCCGCCGGCTCCCTCTCCCTTGCAAACCCACCGGCTGGCGCGCGCAAGCTGAGCTCTCGGCTCGCGCTGGGAGAAGAGGAGGAGGAGCCTCCGCGCCTCCCCCCCCGGGGGCCGCCCTCGGCCCCGCCCCTCTCTGAAGTCACCCCAGCAGCCCCTCGCCTTTCGCGCGAGGCCGGGGGGCGGGGCGGGCGCGCGGAGCATGGGGAGGCCGGAGCTGGCCTTAAGCTGCAGAGCGAGGGGCGGAGGCGGAGAGAGCGGGAAGCCCAGCACGCCCGGCCGGGGAAGGAGTCGCTACTCGCTGGAGCGCTCGCCGAGCTGACGGAGAGCCGGGATACCCTGGACAGCGCCTCGCCGCGCCGCCGCCGCCTCCTCGCCTTGCCGAGCGCGCCCCGCCGCCTTCCCGCCCAGAGACCCCCTTCGGCGGCGGCAACATGGTGAGTGTGAGGGAGTGAAGGGACCAGCCTATTTCTGGCGCGCCCGGAGCGGACAGCCGCGTTTCTCCCGCCGGGAGACGCTAAATCCCTCCGAGGTGGAGGAGGAGGAGGAGGAGAGCGCTCTATCTCGCGCGCGCAGGCTCTCTCTCTCCCTCTTCAGCCATGAGGGCTGAGAAAGAAGCCAGGAGACCCCACGGACAGGAGCCGGGCTCTCTCCTCACAGGCGCCCACCCACAGCAGCGCCTTCCCCACCCCACCCCAGCACCTGCCACAGCCTTCGCTTCTCTGTGCGCTCTCGCGCGCGCCATTCATGCTTTCCTCGGAGACGCTTAGCAAGCCAAGGATACACACACACAACACCTCTCTCTCTGCCCACGTACACACACGCAGGTGCACACATTCCCTTCATTCTCGTTCACACATGCTTCCCTGCCCTCAAACACACACCCCTCCTCCTTATTCCTCTGCCTCATCCCCTCATTTTCTCCCACATCCTTACCCGCAGGCACTTTTTCTCACACCTGTACATGACATGCTGCCTCACGCTCCTATACCCCATTTTTCTCTCTCTCGTGCCCACTTTATCCTTTGTCTCACATCTAGCGCAATGCCATCATTTTTTTTACACCTTGAGCCTTTTCCTTGCACACAAATGCTTGTTCTCTGCAAGACAATGCACCTCGCGCAACATATGCACCGCATTTTCTTGATATGCACACTGTTCTTGTTAGCACACCCACACAGCCCTCACACAGGCAAACACCATCCATTTCTCTCACTGTATCTCATATATATAGCTCTCTCTCACTCTCTCTCTGTGTCTATAGGCAACAAATGCTGTGCCCACATTACTTTATCCTCCCTTCCCCGCCCACACCTGACCTCCCCAAATAATGTTTCCTCACACACACACAGACACATGTTCTTATCTGCATACAGGTGTTTGTTTCTCAACACAGACAGATTCACAGCTGTTCATTTCTTTCTCTCAGACCCATTAACAAAAGCACACTGAGGACCTCAAGGAAGCCATATTTTACATACTGGTTTCACCAACAGAAGACACTGAGCTCCCTCTTTCCCCTCCTTTTCTGCCCCACAGCTTGTTTTTTTCAAAATGCACCCTATGAAGAATCAGGGTGCAGTTTTGGGTTGCTCTCTGTATATGAAGAGCTCCTCTACTCATGCACACACTTGCTTCCTATATGGTGCAATCTTATCCAAGTCTACTTGGAAGTAAGTGCCATTAAGTTCAATAGGACTTACTCTCTGATAAAGGGGTCTATAGGATTGCAGGCTTAATCAGCTGCCCTTGCAGATCTCCTGTCTTTGTGCAGACTTGAACAGAAAACATTCATGGTGCCACTATAGCAAGGGTTAGAAGAAGAAGAAACTTTCCTTTTACCTAACTCTGTTGTAGAAATGGGTGAAGCAGTTAGTTTATACCACTCCATTGTCACAAACTAGCCTTAACATCAGCTTAGGCAAGCCTTGAAGGAGGAATCCTTGGCTGCCAATAGTACTTCCAAATTACTCCTTCTCCACCTACCCTAGTAGTGTGCAAATTAAAGATGAAAGGCCAGTTTAAAGGGACATAAAAAACCAAGGTAGACATGTAGGTTCCTAAACCCCCCCCCATACATAGTGGGGCCGTATTTTTATTGGAATCAATCAAAATATCACAAAAGCTCCACACTTTTTTGATGCTTTCGTTGGTCCCAATAAAGTATTGCCCAACAGATTTTGCACTTTAAAAGGCAGCACTCTGCTCCTTCCTTCCTGCTGCAGATCCAAGTTATTTAGAAAATCCTAGGAAATTCGGATCTAGCTACTAGCTTTGGGAACAAATCCATCTGAATGTAACAAATGCATGTTAGAGAATTAGCATTCCAGCTTCACCACCATTACCCTTATTCAGTCGGGTTCTTCATGAGCATATTTGGATTAGATCTTTTATGTGAGTGTTCAGATTGTATATGTATTCTGTTGTGGCAAAATTAAAAACTCGTGTTAGGATAACAGCTCAGGGAATGTTTTCAGCCTGTAAGACAAAACGAGGATAATGGCATATATATTTTTGGTCAAATTTTGGGTCTTACTGTGTGAAAAGCACTTAGTTACTATCTGGAAGGTCGGTTACCAGACCAAAGGACCATTGTAGCCAGATGACAGGTATGTAGCCGTTCACCTCTGACAGTAACAAAGCTAAAATGGGATTTGTGTCCCCCCCCCATCTATCTAAAAGAACACTAAGCTGTACATAATGAGAAAGAAATAATAAGTATTCCAAGACCTACAATAACTATTCTTGACAATTAGCTGAAAGCCATGTTAATGAATGTTGTAACAGTGTACAGTCACATCACAGAAAAACTGCAATAAGAATGGAAGGAGAAAGGGTGTGTTTGTGATAAAATTCCAGTTGTATATAGCTTTATCCCTAATAGATTTCATTCCTTTCATAGAATGACATGAAACAAGAATCAGATAAGCTTTGGAAACCCCTTAAAGGTTATTGTATACATTTCTGGCTGTGCCAATTCCAAGAAACAAACCCAGTTCTGCACTGTTGATAGCTTTAAACAGGTACTCTCCTGGGTTCAAATCTTTCTTAACTAAGGCAGGTTTTACAAGTGGAGGGCTAACAGATGAATGAAAAATGCAATCTTACTGGGTGACTTTTGTGTGTGTAATTTTTTAATTTAAAAAACCCTGCCAAGCTTACACCTTTTGAAATGTAAGAGCATTTGAAATGTAAGAGCATGAAATGTAAGGGTGATCCACAAAGGGAATTGTAAGCCTCAGGTTAGTCCTGTTAGCTGGGCCTATCAATCATCTCAATGAATATACAGATGAGAAAACGAAGGTTCAAGGTGGCTCAGTAGCTAACCCAATTATCAGTAATGTGTTCGTGTGTGTTTGTAGTTACACCATTGAGCCTGTGTCCCAGAGGATCACAAGGACTGCACTAATGATAAGATGAAGTTAATGATGTATGATATAATGAACAACCTAGTGCACATCAACTGGGAATCAGGTCACATATAGGTGCTACTGAGTTTTTATTCTAACACCAAACCTGAAACTTTTGGCTTGCACCAGTTACTCTGAACTCAAGTAGTTTTGGGGAAATTAGATTTTGGACAGCATAAATATATTCCATACTTGTGATTTATCCTGACAGTGTTTTATGTGTTTTATAGAATCATAGAGTTGGAAGGTAATATGTGCCAATCTCCTGCCCATGGAGGGAACTCGCTCCATCCAAAGCATATTCAGAAATGGCAGCATGGCTTTCTGTTTGCAGTTGGTTTTTTAAGTCAGTAACTTATTGGAGAAAATCAATGCAGGGAATGAGATGGACACACTTTTTACACAGAGACATGTGTAGTTGAACTACAATGAAATGACAAAGGAGACTCTTAGTGATCACCGTTATGTGATGGAAAGCAGCTTCCAAGGTTGCAAAGTTCTACAAACTGGAAACACATACAAAAACAAATTCTCTTGGCCATCTTACATGCTGATCATAAACTCATCATTTGGAAGCAAGTGCAATTTGTTGAAATGGCAGTGATGCCCACGGTCAAGGTGCCAGTATCTGTGTTTTATTTAGGAAATCGTTAGTTTGAAAGTTGTATACAGTTTCTGTAGTAAACATGTATTATTACACTGTATCTTTTGATATAGCCATGCAAAGTATTTGTGAGAATCGGGATACAATGTTTCGCCCCACTCAAGCATGAGAATCATTTTGAAGACATCAGGGTGTTTGTTTGTTTTGTTTTGCTGTTTATGGAATGTTGTTGTTTGGTCGTTTAGTCATGTCCGACTCTTCATGACCCCATGGTCCAGAGCACGCCAGGCACTCCTGTCTTCCACTGCCTCCCGCAGTTTGGTCAAACTCATGTTGGTAGCTTCGAGAACACTGTCCAACCATCTCGTCCTCTGTCGTCCCCTTCTCCTTGTGCCCTCCAACTTTCCCAACATCAGGGTCTTTTCCAGGGAGTCTTCTCTTCTCATGAGGTGGCCAAAGTATTGGAGCCTCAGCTTCACGATCTGTCCTTCCAGTGAGCACTCAGAGCTGATTTCCTTAAGAATGGATAGGTTTGATCTTCTTGCAGTCCATGGGACTCTCAAGAGTCTCCTCCAGCACCATAATTCAAAAGCATCAATTCTTCGGCGATCAGCCTTCTTTATGGTCCAGCTCTCACTTCCATACATACATCTATTATACATACATACATTCTATTATGGAATAGACCTCCCATATTAACCAGCGTTCTCAGCCTCAGTTGCATGCTTATTCTGAGCCATGAGCCTGATTTCCCCAGGATCTCCAGTTAAAACTGGATCATCTCAAGTAGACATGCATGGATATACATTGGAAAGCCTCTGCCAATAAGAAGAGACCCTGCTGAGCCAGATGGACCAGTAGAGGCAATGGAGCAGATTTTGGAATTACTGGGGAGCTGCAGCGGGGAGAGGAGAGAATAGGCAGGAGAATCTCCATTTATGCAAATTGAATTTTTGTTGTGCAGGCAGGCTGACACCAGTGGATGTCACCCCATATACTAGACTTAAGGAACCACCAATGTTTTCTGCAGCAATTGCAAACTGTGGAACACCCCAGACATGCCATGAGCATTGCCTATCTCTGGCAAAAGTGACTGATGATAACTATCAGTTTGTCTAGTGACAAAGGACCAATTCACACCACAAGTTTCCTCACCCTCACTATGCAGAGATTCTCCACAGCAACATAGGATGGGGTGGCCAGATGTGGCTCTCCAGGGGTCCCTGTCTGGCTTTCAGGATTATCCCCAGGACAAGCCAGACACCCGATTGGCTCTGTTTCATGCCTTCCCTGAGTGCCTCTGCCTTGCTGGAATGTGACCTTGAATTGTGACAATGCCTCTTGCTTGCCTGGATAGAGAGAGAGTGGAGAAGCCTCTTAATTTTGTGTGCTTTTGCCTGCTGCATAAAGGTGAGAGTTGCATCCATTGCTCTGGCCCTGCTCACCACTGGCACAAGCATTGTGCATGAAGGAATGCAACCCCCACACTGAAAAATGCTACTCGCCCCAGCATAGGAACCTACCTTATACGAAGTCAAGCCATTCAACCATTTAGCTCAGTATTATCAAAAGTAACTAGCAGTGAGTCTGTAGGGTTTCAGGTAAGCATTTTTCCCAGCCTTATCTGGAGATGCCAGGGACTGAACCTAGGACCTTTTGCATGCAAAGCAAATGCTCTTCCACTGAGCTACAGTCCTTCCCTTATGAACATACTGTCCTACAGCTAGAGCTTCATGTTACCTGGAATCTTCATGGAGTTCGGTTCCTTCAGCAAGTGTCATAAGTCAAAGTCCTCTTTGCAACCATATAACAACTTTCCCCCCCTTTTTTCATTTGGTCTGGCATAATCCCTGGAGGTGTGGATAAATGATCTGTGGAGGCCTAAAACTTAGTTTAGGGACGCGGGTGGCGCTGTGGGTTAAACCACAGAGCCTAGGACTTGCCGATCAGAAGGTCGGCGGTTCGAATCCCTGTGACGGGGTGAGCTCCCATTGCTCAGTCCCTGCTCCTGCCAACCTAGCAGTTCGAAAGCACGTCAAAATAGGTACCACTCTGGCGGGAAGGTAAACGGCATTTTGGTGCGCTGCTCTGGTTCACCAGAAGCGGCTTAGTCATGGTGGCCACATGACCTGGAAGCTGTACGCCGCCTCCCTTGGCCAATAAAGCAAGATGAGTGCCGCAACCCCAGAGTCGGCCACGACTGGACCTCCATTAGGTTGGCAAGTCCTAGGCTCTGTGGTTTAACCCACAGCGCCACCTGCGTCCCTTAATGGTCAGGGGTACCTTTACCTTTTTAAAGCTTAGTTTGTGGGGGCACGCTCCCAGCTCCTTTTTATTTTGCAGATACATTGGCAAGATGAGAGGCTAGAGCCCTTGACAGTGTAGTGTGCCAAAATTAGGCACTGAACTGGATGCGACACTGGGGTGTATCAAAAAGGACAACCTCCTGGAGATGTGGGTATATCATCTGGTGTTGTCATGCATTAAATAATGTTGCAACAAACAAACAAACAACCCAACACCCAACCATTTTGATTGCAGAGAATTCTTGTGCATCTCAAGAGGAACATTCCTGGTCTTGGAGATATATGATATTGGAAAGTACAAAGCTTTTTTAGTGGTACAGTGGTACCTCGGGTTACAGACGCTTCAGGTTACAGAAGCTTCAGGTTACAGACTCTGCTAACCCAGAAATAGTACCTCGGGTTAGGAACTTTGCTTCAGGATGAGAACAGAAATCGCACGGCAGCAGCGGGAGGCCCCATTAGCTAAAGTGGTACCTCAGGTTAAGAACAGTTTCAGGTTAAGAACGGACCTCCAGAACGAATTAAGTTCTTAACCTGAGGTACCACTGTACAATTGTGTTTCTCATTACCACTGATTATGCAGCTCTGTTTCAACCCTTCATGGGAACTAGGAATAAGGAACTGGGAACTACTAACCAACATCAGCCTTATTCCTGATGAAAAGTTATGCAGAACATGAAGGTTTGCTCAATATTTTGTGACACTTTGATTGGTTCCAATAAAAGTATTACCCTACCCTGCCCTGATTCCCCCCCACCTATGGATCTGGATCAATGATATGGAGACATCAACATTCATGATACTTTGCAAGAGGACAGGCCCCTCCCCAAGGAGCATACAGTCTAAAATTCAACACAGGGAAAGGCAACAGAAGAAGGGGAGAGGAGTGAAGGCAGGGGTGAACAGGAGTAGAATGTGCAATTATTTCAGTTATATGTACTTAGGATTAGTTATAGGCTTAGGCTCTTATTTTGGAAAACCATACAACTTGTGCCAGGGGCTTGTGCTGCACTTAAATAAATAAATTAGTGTTGCTAAATTGTGGATTACAGCACTCATATTGAACTATCTGGCAAAGGCTTCAGGTATTTGATTTTTCACTGACATTTTTCCCTGTAAAAAGAATGTCTCTGCATTGATTTGCAGCCAGCACGATCCAGTGGATTATTGGCCTTTGATCTAGGAGATTTGGGTCCAAGTTCCACTTCCTCCTCCGCTGGTTGACTCGTGATAAAATTTGTTGGCTTCAACTTCCCCATCACCAAAATGGGAATAACAGAATTCCATTGGTTGGGGATAGTTGCTAGCATGATGAAGCATGGAAAGCTTTGTGCAACATCAGTGATTAAATTTATAAAAGGGGGGGGAGCAATCTTGCATTCTCTGTTACCTGTTCCTTCCCTTACCCACCCCTTTCAACAGTCTTCCCTGGGCTAGTTTTTTAATTTATACAATAGCCTATGTAATTGTACTTGCAAATCTAGGCTTAAGTAACCTAACTGGGGCCCACTTAGTTTTAATTTAAGAGAGGGTTGTTTTCCAGTATTCATTTCATCCACTCAAGTGGCACTGGGTATCTGATTCTGCAGCTTCCACTGCCTTCTTCACACATGCATTATTCCCAGCCAGTATTAAGAGAAAAGAATCCCCAGCAATCTCTGCTGCAAACTCTGAACAGAATCCTTCCAAAAAGCATCATACTGGCAGCGAGTGAATGACTGGCACAAACCTCCAAAAGGGGGTGGGGAAAATACTGTTTCAAGGAATTGGCATTCTTTTCATCAGAGTACAAGTTCCAAATAATGGCATCCACACCACATTTGCTTTCCAGTTACTTGTTATGTAATGGCTTGCTTTGGTTAGTTGGGTAGGAAGTCGAATAAATTATATTGCGACAGTGTCTTTAATAAGCATTTGCTGGTACAAAGGGACATTTTATTTAGCTCTGTTCTGAGCCAGGGGTGGTAGTTTAGAGGTTGGAAAAGACAGCCAGGTATAATTCTGACTGCGTTTACTCCACTACAACACCACTGATTTTACTAGATCGCAGCAAGGATTGTAACCTTGGGCAGTAGCTCACAATTCTTGAATTAAAGTCAATGGGACATCTATGTGAAACTTTGGACCTCTAATGCTTACTGACATTTAAATTTTTAACATTCACTCTCGTAACTAATTATTTCAGAGTGATTCCATTAAAGTTGACAGAGCTCCTCCTCAGACACATAAAAAGAGTCTTGATAGATGTGCGTCTTAATGCATGACACATCGATGGGAGACCATAACATGGTGTCAGAAGTCATGTTGTAAATTTACAGATTCCTAACCAGACAAGGAAAATGACACTGTTCCCTGCACCAGAAGTTTTCAGCTCTAATAATCCTGCACCCCGGAAGAAGAAGAAAATATTTGCTTGCTTTTGCCTGGCCTCAGAGGAATAGTGCACATAAAGCTCATCACTTTATGTTATGGGGAAAGAAGCCAACAATGGCTGCTATTCATGTAAACTTTTCTCACAGTAAACCAATTGGATTCAACTGGTTGATTTCAGTGGGTATAGTCTGAGTATGGCTAACATTGAATATCGCCCAATGTTTGCAATTCCTTTATCTTTGCTGAAGAGGGCAACAAGCACAACCGTAGCCAGATTAGATACCTATTTCACTCCCAAGAGGACTGTAGCTTATGAGAAGTCTGATGTCGAAGACTAGTCAAATCCCTGAGTCATTTGTTAGGGCTTTGTCTGAACAAGACTGAATTTACTGTTACAAAACAGAAGACTGCTGGTAGAGATGGATTGGTGGCTGTAATTCTAGAAAAGGTCTCTCCAATCTTTTGTCCTCCATCAGTTATGAACTACAGTTCCCACCATTCCTGACT